AAAAATTGCCTATCTTTAGCTGATTCGTCTGGTCCTGAGGCAGTCCTTTGAAGTCCTGAAGCGGAACGGCTGGGAAGAAAGGTCAGTAAACTATTCAAGCAGCATCTGGTAGCCTTCAAACTTAGAAGGTAGAGTGTTCTTCAAGTTTTCTGATCTGTGCCTCCTACTCTGTAGAGTACCATGAGAAGCTAGATACATCGTCACCTACAGAGAATTGAAATCCAGTAGGGGGTATAAAATAGTTAAGTATATATGACAGTTAACATTTTATACTGATTTAAGTGATTGCTTTTTTTCCTTGTAAAGTGGTTTTAGCCTTGCGTTGATTGTTAGGCAGTGGAGGTACTAGACGGAATATTTTTGTTTCTCTTTGGGAGATAAGAAGTGTTGGCATACTGTCACTAACAGAGCCATGTGTGTTTGCGTCTGTAGCCGAATCAAGGTTTTCTTAGATGTCCTGATGAAGGAGATCCTGTGTCCTGAGAGTCAGTCTCCTAACGGAGTGAGATTCCACTTCATTGATATTTATCTGGATGAACTCTCCAAAGTGGGGGGGAAGGAGGTAAGCAGCTGCCGACAGGATGCCCATGGGGTCAGGGAGCCACCAGTGTTTGCCATAGTAGCCAGTCAAGTGCTGTGGGGTGGCACTTCACCTGACCAGCCACCCCACAGCACTTGACTGGCTACTATGTAGCAGCATGAATTGCTTCAGTCTTGCCTTGGAAATGAGTCCTAAGCAGCTGGTGGGATGGGATTTATGCACTGAGGATGTACATGACAGTCTTACCTGTAAAATAGAATTGAAAGCAACCTACAGACTCCAGTAAAGAGCTCACTTACATAGAGGGGTGCTCAGCATCTAGGGAGCTTTATAAAATGGTAGGAAAGCTATGCAAGTGATACACATTTTTAAGGAATATACTCATGTAAATAGACAAAAGGCTGGAAAGGAAACATACATTTTTCAGTATGCGAATGATTCCCTGAATGTGGGAATATACAGAGATTTTACTTTCCTTTCACAGGTGTTTTGCAGGGAACGTTTTATTTTGTCTTGCACTTAGAGTCACTGTCCCTGTTTGCCCCTCTTGTAGAGGAAGTGTATGCATGCCCCGTATCAAGTTGGTGCAACCCGAGGCCTGAGGGCTGCGTGCCGCCCAGGGCAGCTTTCAGTGTGGCCCAGCACGAACTCATAAACTTTCTTAAAATATTACGAGTTTTTTTGCAATTTGTTTTTAACTCATCAGCTATTGTTAGTGTTGTGTATTTTGTGTATGACCCAAGACAGTTCATCCAGCGTGGCCCAGAGAAGCCAAAAGATTGCACACCCCTGTTCTGCATGTTGGGCTATAGGATAGTGCAGGCTGGGCTCGCTGGCTTTCTCCAGCCACTGCTCTAAGATACCAAGTAGCTGCAGGGCGGCCTTGATCTTGAGCCTGGTTCCACGCCTCTGCTGTTTCACGGGGGCACCGAGGCTAGGTGAGACAGGCATTACTTGGTCTAACTCCACCTTTATAACAGATGTAAATGGTCCCTTTTTCAAGGACACGTCAAGGAGGGAAAAGGCTCTTTGTTTCTCAGTTTTTCCCTGTTTTGTTTCTAAATTACAGCTTTTGGCAGATCAGAATCTCAAGTTTATTGATCCATTCTGCAAAGTCGCCGCGAAGACCAAGGAGTAAGTGATTCCCACGTTCGTTCCTGCTGCTGCGAGGCACTTGCCTGTGAGGAGCCTGGTGCGGGGCACCTGCACACTGCTTCACAGCAGAGAGCAGCTGGAGGCATCGAAGCTTTGGGCAGGGATTTGGCTCTTCTAGCTTCAGTATTTGACTCACTCATTCCAAGAATGCCCTCTCACGCCCAGAGATCTGACTGCTGGGCGTCCCATGCCTGTCAGGTGGCACTTAGGCAGTTCCTCGCAGTGCTTGCTGGCTCGTGAGAGCCGCTCCAGACCCCAGTGACGTGTGCGGGGCTTCCCTGTGCACTTCTGAAGCCAGCAGGCCAGGCCGTTTGTTCTAATCACCTGCCCGCCACTGTGCTTTCTCCGTCAGCCACAGTCTAGTGCGGACCATAGCGAGGGGCGTTTTTGAAGCTATCGTAGATCAGTCTCCTTTTGTGCCTGAGGAGTCAGTGGAGGAACAGAAGACAAAAGTGGGCGTTGGTGACCTCTCTGCAGAAGAGACGCCTGAAAATGGGGCGACATTGAGAAGAGCTCTCAGTAAAAAGAAGACAGGTAAGAGGGTGTTATTGGTCAGTCTAGCTTTCTTTCTGGTAAAATCCTCAAACAGTTTTTAATACATTTGTTGGCATCTTACTGAATGCAACCTAGAATTGATGGCTCTGCCTCAGCCCCTCCCAAGAAAGGCAGTAGAGGTGGGTCCAGTGTGCCTGGGGGGTGCCTAGCAGGGCTCTGGGGAGACCCGAGACCGGTCCCATGTGGCGTACACACGTTTCTCCACCTCCCAGAACCTCAGGACTCTCCTGAAGGATTTTCCCATTGTCACTGCTAGTGCTTTGGGGTTTGTTTGTTTGCTTTGTTGTTTTATTTGACGTACTTCAACACCTTAGCATGGCCTCATTCCTGCGAGTTATGGGAGGGACGTATACTTGTTTCTGTAGCTGTCCTTTCTCACCCCACGGCTTCCTTCAGGTTCTTTTTCTTTGGATGTTTAGATGCCCACTGTGGGCTGCCATCGTTCTTACTGCTGTGTCTGTGGACTTGGTGTAGAATGTGCATTTGCAGTTGCAGGCCCGTCAACACCCTCCCCACAGTGCTTTATGGCAACTCGTGCACAAAATGAGGGAAATGGTGAGGACGCAGTTGACCTATGCTGTTCAAGTGTTACGTAACCATTTTGAAGCAAAGTTACCAAAAACTAAGGACCAAAGGAAATTTAATATACATGTATATATATTTTTAAAGCAGGGTACAGACTCTACGTAGAAGGAGCCCGATTTGTTGTTTGGGTTTTCTTTAATTATTACGGCTATATAATAGTTGTGCATCTGATTGGTTTTTAAACGTTTATTTGTGCTTTTATTTTTTTTTTCTAAAGGGTCATTTTATTTATTTTGATAGTTTAGGGAACAGGTTTGGGTTACATGGATAAGTTCTTTAGTGGTGATTTCTGAGATTTGGGTACACCTGAGCAGTGTACACTCTTCCCAGTGTGTCGTCTACTATCTGTCACCGCTCCCACCCTTCCCCCTGAGTCCCCAAAGCCCATTGTACCATTCCTAAGCCTTTGCATCCTCATAGCTTAGCTCCCACTTTTAAGTGAGAACATTCAATATTTGGTTTTCCATTCCTGAGTTGCTTCACTTAGAATAATGGTCTCCAGCTCTGTCCAGGTTGCTGTGAATGCCATTATTTTCATTCTTTTCTATGGCTTACTAGTATTCTATGGTATACATACCACATTTTCTTTACCCACTCCTTGGTCAATGGGCATTTTAGGCCGGTTCCGTGTTGTTTTAGCTGTGAATTGTGCTGCTATAAACATGCATGTGCAAGTGTCTTTTTCATATAATGACTTCTTTTCCTCTGGGTAGATACCCAGCAGTGGGATTGCTGGATCAAATGGTAGGTCTACTTTTAGTTATTTAAGGAATCTCCACACCGTTTTCCATAGTGGCTGTAATAGTTTACATTTGTACCAGGAGTATGAAAGTGTTCCTTTTCACCACATCTGTGCCAACATCTTTTTTTTTTTTTTTTTTTT